GTCCAATCCCAAAATATAGACTGCACTAGCTGGAGCTAAATAAAAGAAAGTAATAAGATGTCCAATCCCAAAATATAGACTGCACTAGCTGGAGCTAAATAAAAGAAAGTAATAAGATGTCCAATCCCAAAATATAGACTGCACTAGCTGGAGCTAAATAAAAGAAAGTAATAAGATGTCCAATCCCAAAATATAGACTGCACTAGCTGGAGCTAAATAAAAGAAAGTAATAAGATGTCCAATCCCAAAATATAGACTGCACTAGCTGGAGCTAAATAAAAGAAAGTAATAAGATGTCCAATCCCAAAATATAGACTGCACTAGCTGGAGCTAAATAAAAGAAAGTAATAAGATGTCCAATCCCAAAATATAGACTGCACTAGCTGGAGCTAAATAAAAGAAAGTAATAAGATGTCCAATCCCAAAATATAGACTGCACTAGCTGGAGCTAAATAAAAGAAAGTAATAAGATGTCCAATCCCAAAATATAGACTGCACTAGCTGGAGCTAAATAAAAGAAAGTAATAAGATGTCCAATCCCAAAATATAGACTGCACTAGCTGGAGCTAAATAAAAGAAAGTAATAAGATGTCCAATCCCAAAATATAGACTGCACTAGCTGGAGCTAAATAAAAGAAAGTAATAAGATGTCCAATCCCAAAATATAGACTGCACTAGCTGGAGCTAAATAAAAGAAAGTAATAAGATGTCCAATCCCAAAATATAGACTGCACTAGCTGGAGCTAAATAAAAGAAAGTAATAAGATGTCCAATCCCAAAATATAGACTGCACTAGCTGGAGCTAAATAAAAGAAAGTAATAAGATGTCCAATCCCAAAATATAGACTGCACTAGCTGGAGCTAAATAAAAGAAAGTAATAAGATGTCCAATCCCAAAATATAGACTGCACTTCACTTTCAGGCTGCGTTTGAATCTTGGATTTGTGGAGGGATTTGCAAAAGAAAGGGAAAATCTTTCCATTTTCTTCACAAATCCCTCCACAAATTCAAGATCCAAAACACAGTTAGAATTTGAAGGTCAAAGTTCTCTTTTCTAGAGTCTAATTATTGAGGATCGGAATTGTTCAGGGAAAATGGTTTGAAATTAGGTAACTGACAAAACAATTGTTAAGAAAAAGTCCAGGCAGTCTAATAATGAACTGCAGATGGGAAAATAGCAATATACTATGTAAAAAGAGCCCTAGAAAAGCTCCCTATGCTCCACTTCTTAAATCTAAATACAAAAATAGTATGATTTCCCAAAGAAGAGGACCTATCAAGGTCTGGCCAAGCCAGTTCCTTTCTTACTCATCATTTAAAAACTAATCATTTTCCTAGCAATTGAGATCTCTTATTCCATTCTTGTTCTATCTGTACAAAAATCAAAATAGGAAATTTAAAATAGGAAGTCAAGGGCGTTGAAAGAAAGAATTGCAGATGAAGAGACTTTGGTAAGGTTGTTTGAAATGTTTAAACCTTTTCTGCTTACTCATTTTTAAAGGACCCTGTTTGGCTGAAGTTGTTACTCTCTCCAGTGTGCTTATTCTTTAAAAAATGTGTAATAAGAATGATCAGAGTTCACAAGTTAAGTGGAGAAGTGAGAGAAAACTAGACGTTGTGTAAGGAAGGAAAGTCTCAGTTTTCTCCGTAGGTAAAGGAGGAACTCAAATCCATCCAAGGTAAGACCTTGCAGTCTGCTATTATGAAACTATCCTTCCTCTGCACTGTCTATCAGATTTGGATTGAGAGGAATAGGAGGATTTTTAGCAAGGATTTCAAACCTAAAGAGATTATTACACAACTCATTGTTCAAATGGTTAGAGGTAGGATTCTTTCAATGAATAATTTGATCAACTCTGCAGGTGATGCCTGGTATTTGGCTCAATGGAACTTACCTTCAACAATTATGAAGCTGCCCCAGGACAACAATGCTGGGGGCAGATTGAGTGTGGATAGTGCACCTATACTGAGGGTTGCATGAAGGCGAGCATATACCGGGGGCTTTCTAATGTGGGTTCTCTTTTACAGATGGATATTATGGATGTTTGCTTCAAAAAGATGCTACCTTGCTACTCCTTAGCTTGTTCGGGCACTGTCATGTGTGGGTTGAGTGTTGTGAGCCAAGATATATTATTTCTAAACCGTGGGTTGAGGGATGTGAGGTTGTTCATAACATTATTTCTAACTGCTATTATATATTATAATTTTTATGTGCAGGTGAAGGAAGCTCTTATATACAGTAGTTCAATTGAGATTATGAGTGAGTTGGAGAGGTGTGGGCCTCGTGCAGTGAGAAACCATAATGAGTGGAGTGTTATTATTAGATGTGGGTCGAGTGAAGGGAGGTCTCACATATTTAGCATGATATTCCTTCTTCTCTATGATAACACATGTAATCTTGGCACTTATTTTCCTTCTCATTGGGCAGGTTTATTTAAAATTTGTATGTGGTGTGGTGGTGGCTGCAATTTGCGCCCTTCTTGGCAGATGTATTTGGTTTGGAGATGCTATTCGGCAATGGCTGCAAGTTGCGCCTTGTCTAGACATTTCAATGGGTCTATAAGTTGTCTTACTTTCGGGTTGTATATATTCTTCTCTGGTTTGTTGGTTTCTTTGAATATTGTAAATATTTCCCCTCTTTGGGCTGTTTGTGTTTCATGTTGGATATGCTGGAGTCTTAGAATAGGGCTGGACTATAGGGATTTCACGGTGGATGTTGTGCTCTTGCCGAATCAGGGCTACTTTTGGGCTGGTAAAGTTATTGTTCAAGACCCCTATCTGTTTGGGACATGGTTCTTGAACAAGTTCTATGGTCTGCTCGGTTGGTTTGTTTGTTCGGGTTCTTGATTTTGGTTATGGCAGGTTTTAATAGTATGGTGGCAGCTGTAATGTAATTTCTTTTAATATTTTAGTTTAGTTTTGTGTTTCTTTTGTGTTGTTGTTGTAGTTTGTGGTAGGGCCTGGGGTTTGCCCCTTGTATTTGTGTAAATTTCTCTGTTCTATTTTATCTCTTATTCACCCAAAAAAAAGGTAAAGGAGGAACTTGAGCACCAAAGCCTTTTGTTGGAGCATGATTACTGCTTCCTCATTTGCAATATTCTTGATGCAGCGATCCATTTTAGAACTTATATAGCTTTAAAATTTTGATAATGATGTGCATTTTCCAATTTCTCAATCAAAAAAGGGTGAGGGGGCTATCAGCTAGCAATCTAATACTATTAAAACAACGGAAATATAGTAGCCATTACAACTCTTGACAGACTTAATATTGAAGAAGTTGCTAACCTGAGCATCTGCTCCGGATGAAACTAACACATTAAGCACATGAGAGAAGGCAAGGCCAGTAATTCTTTTAGAATGACCTTTAAGCTTGCTTTTGACCTGCAATAATAAAATGCTTATTAGTAATTAGATAAAAAGATTGGTTTATTGAACAACAGTGGAGCTGATAATTACCCATTACGTGTGTTGTAACTTCCTACCCACTATATAATCTATCATACCTCATCTACACGGACATTGTATATCTGGATTGTTGAATCATCCATGCCAATAGCAATGATATTGTTATCTTGAGGATGAAATGCAAGAAACGTTGCTGCAGGTGGTGGAGGCATGAAAGTTGTCATTGTCTGCACTTGCCCAAAAGGATTTGGGATTAGTCAAACCAATAATTTACATAAACATAAAATAACTCAACCAGAGAATAATCCAATTTTTCTGTCACCTTAAATGTCATCATATTGAATAGAGAAATCTTTCCTCCCGACGCAGACATCACATAAGAATCATTTTTGGACAAAGCAAAACAGGGTACAGCATCCTCAGGGTTGGTGTCAACAACATCATTGGTCATCAAAATGCCACTTGATGGTTGCCATAATTGAGGTGATACATTGGCTGTTGCCTAAAGAATGAACACTGCTCCAAAAAAAAAAAAAAAAAATAAAATTTTCAAAAAAATTCAATTTTTGCCCTTCAAAAAAAAAAAGAGAGAGGGTATTACAGTCAATAACTTAAAAAAGTATTACAATTACTGCATGTCTCATCCAAAGAAAAAAAAGTTTGAAACTTTAGAATATCACAATCACTGCATGACTCATCCACATAAAATATTACAATCTGTGGTTCTTAAAATATAAAAACAATTCAAACCACCAAAACCATGAGCAATAGTAGAGATTGTATGTCTCTGTATTGTTATATTTATGTATGTTTTTGAAAACAAAAACCAATCAGCATATATCATATTTTTTATTTATTACTTTTAGAGTTAGATTTAAAAACCAAAAAATATAGATAAATAATACGTTTATTTTTTTCAATTCAAAAAATATATTCAAGTTGAAAACTTTTTTTCAAGAGAATATTTGAACTTTTTTTCAATTGAAAACATAAACAAAATATTTAAACAAATTGAAAACATAAAGTCTTATAAATTACTAAGAGTGCTCGCGGTTTGGCAAATGAACCTCAAATCCGCCATCCGTTCGCCAAATTGGCAGATTGGAGAAAATCAATCCACAACCGTCCGCTCATCATCACGCATCCGTCCAAAATGCGGCGGATCGGTTTGGTTCGGTCGGTTTTAGCGGATCGGTGTATCCGCTGCTCACCCCCACCCATCACTCATCAAATATATTTATTATTTTTGTTCTTTTTTATCAAAATATAATTTTCATCCTGTTGCAAATATTTTATTATTCAAATTAGAAGAAAAAATATATATATATATATATTATGCCTCCGTTTGGGAAGTGAATTGCCTTTTTTGCTATTTTAGTCTGGGCTAAAAAACTTGATTTGAGAAGGGCTTTTTGACTTTTTTTGTGAGAGAAGAGTGTAATAATTATGGATTGGATATGATGTTTTGTTTGTTGTGCCTAAAATAGCCTATTTTGTCTTTTGTGGCTAAAATAGCCACAAACCAACTTGCCAAACGGACCTATATATATATATATATCAATTAATATATTAATTAATGATGTAACATAATTTAAGATATTTTTAATATTTATAATTTGTAAAACGGTAATATTACATATACCAATTAATATACTAACTAGTGTAATAACACTAATCATACATTATTATTAACCATGCTTATTATACAAATTACAAATATAAAAAACTCTTAAATTATGTCACATCATCAATTGTTACACTAATTAGTGCATATAGTATTATTCATTAAACAAAAAATAATGCTATATGCTATAGTGCATATAGTATTAATTGGTGCATATAGCATTATTTTTTGTTTAATGAATAATACTATATGCACTAATTAGTGTACCAATTGATGATGTGACATAGTTTAAGAGGTTTTTAGCATTTATAATGTGATTAATGAGTGGGATCAATAATAATGTCATAACTAATATTAGTACACTAGTTAATATATTAATTGATACATATAACACTACCGTTATTTAATGAATGAGATCAATAATAATATCATAATTAATGCCTGTAACACCATCCAAAAAATGGCGTCGCAAATAACCTGGTAAAAAGAGTAAACGATGGTGTTTTGCAAAACATTTTTCCTACTAAATTCCCTCCTATTATCATTTTTGCTGCCCTAAATTACAACTCTTCTCTATCCCACTCTCTCCTCGCCGCCGACCGCACCCATCTGCCGGTTGTCGCCTCCGCAATCCATCTCCGGTAAGACGGTTCGCTGCCCAACTTGACAGTTTTTCATCATCTTGTTTAGTGAGAGATTTAGAGATTTTTTTGAGAAAAGTTTTAATTTCGTGTTTCAAATACCTAATTAGGGTTTTGATTTTATGTAATTCTAGGGTTTAGCGCTTTTGATTTGTGTATGTGTTTTTACATATTCGGATTCTAATCTAGATGAATTATGGTAAACCATGAAAATAATGCTTGATGTTATGTAAAAGTTATTGAGACTTCAGGGTTAGTACATGTTGTAGCGAATTTTATGCTATATATAGGGGCCTGTTTGGTGTAGTTTTTTTTTTCTTGGTTAATTTTTTCCTTTGGTTATATATTCTGCATCATTTTTTGGTGCATTGTATCAATTTCAATCAAGCCCATTTCATGTAATTAATTATTTTTATAAAAATTACAAGCTTGTATAAATTTTACTCATGTTGGGTTATGCGTATTGTTGTTGTTTTGTTGTATTGGATTCAAAGCCTATAACTAACATGTCATTTTTATCAAAACTTTGTGAATTGCTTGTGTCTTTCTAGTCCTGGGACTAGAAAACATAGAGCTTTTAAGTACTAGCCCGGGACTAGAAAGACACAAGCAATTCACAAAGTTTTGATAAAAATAACATGTTAGTTATAAGCTTTGAATCCAATACAACAAAACAACAACAATACGCATAACCTAATATGAGTAAAATTTATACAAGCTTGTGATTTTTATAAAAATAATTAATAACATGAAATGGGCTTGATTGAAATTGATACAATGCACCAAAAAATGATGCAGAATATATAACCAAAGGAAAAAATTAACCCAAAAAAAAAAAACTACACCAAACAGGCTATATATAGCATAAAATTCGCTAAAACATGTACTAACCCTGAAGTCTCAATAACTTTTAAATGACATCAAGCATTACTTTCATGGTTTACCATAATTCATCTAGATTAGAATCCGAATATGTAAAAACAAAAGCGCTAAACCCTAGAATTGCATAAAATCAAAACCCTAATTAGGTATTTGAAACACGAAATTAAAACTTTTCTCAGAAGAATCTCTAAATCTCTCACTAAACAAGATGATGAAAACTGTCAAGCTGGGCAGCGAGCCGTCTTACCGGAGATGGACGACTGTGGAGGAGACAACCGGCAAATGGGTGCGGTCGGTGGCGAGAAGAGAGTGGGAGAGAGAAGAGTTGTAATTTAGGGTAGCAAAAATGCTAATAGGAGGGAATTTAATAGGAAAAATGTTTTGCAAAACACCGTCGTTTACTCTTTTTACCAGGTTATTTGCGATGCCATTTTTTGGATGGTGTTACAGGCATTAATTAGTGTATTAATTAGTATATTAATATTAATTATGACATTATTATTGATCTCATTCATTAAATAACGGTAGTGTTATATGTATCAATTAATATATTAACTAGTGTACTAATATTAGTTATGACATTATTATTGATCTCACTCATTAATCACATTATAAATGCAAAAAACCTCTTAAATTATGTCACTTCATCAATTGGTACACTAATTAGTATACTAATTAGTGCATATAGTATTATTCATTAAACAAAAAATAATGCTATATGCACCAATTAATGTACTAACTAGTGTAACAATTAATGATGTGACATAATTTAAGAGTTTTTTATATTTGTAATTTGTATAATAAGCATGGTTAATAAAAATGTATGATTAGTGTTATTACACTAGTTAGTATATTAATTGGTATATGTAACATTACCGTTATACAAATTATAAATATTAAAAATATCTTAAATTATGTTACATCATTAATTAATATATTAATTGATATATATATATATATATATATTATAATTTTTATAATAAATGGACCAATAATAATAATGTCATAATATTACAAGTAGAAACAAAGCTGTTTTTTCACAATGATTATTTATTTATTGATTGTGATTATTTTACAGGGTATATGGGCAGTATATGCAATCACAGGTCCGAGCAAACGCATAAGAAGACACCCATTTGGCACGTCGTGGGAGGCTGAGGTTGGGAAAACCCCCATTCACAAATCTAAAGGGCAATTCATCTATTACTATCATCTCCGCAAGATGCCTTCTAGCAACTTCTACAGAAAATGACGTAGCTACAACATCAACAACATCCTCCCCACCAACTTCTCTAGGTTTAAATCCTAATGATTGTTGCCCATGAGTATCCCTATATGGATACTTTGTACAATTTTTCAAATGAGTTAATAAATTACTTGTTCCATGACTCTTAGAGCCTGCCATATATTATTTCTTACAATACTTGCACATTGCTCTATCGTTCCCATCAATATCCTTAATACTTTCAAAATGATCCCAAGCCTTTGATGGTGTTCTCCCACCACTACTACTTTTGGCCAAGGTTGGTCTAGGAGGGGAAGCATTAGGTTGGGTAGATGGGTCAATAGAAGATGATTTAAGCTCAATTAGGATTCACAAAAAAAGTTTCTTCACTTGGAGGATCCATGACCAAAAGATTATCAAATAAACTGCCAACAACCAATAAAAAATCATTCAAAATATGCTTCTCAAATCCATGCTCTTTTTGAAAAACAACCATCAGACTCTTTGTCTATGTTTGAACATGTTAAATGGCATATGAAGATAAAAGAATGGACAGTGTTTAATGTTCACTGATTAATGAGATAAGTTTAAACTAAGTAAGATGAATCAGTAAGTTTAAACTGACTAATGTTCACTAAGTACGATTAGTTCATTGACTAATATATTATGAATCAAAGTTTAATCTTTAAACAAATTATGAATCAAAGGATTGAAGAAGGATTGAAAAAGGATCAGTAATTTAATGTTCACTGACTAAATTATAGAACAAATTATGCTCTATATACTTCCCTGGACTCGCAACTCAAACTACCATCAATTAGAGATCTCACATGGTCCAAAACAAACTAATATGTTTTATAGAACAGATTAAATTACAGAACAAATTGTGAAGAAGGATCAATTAGTCACAGAATAGATTAACTTCAAAACAGATTGTGAACTTTAGAACAGAACAAATTAATTCCAAATTTCATTTCTAAACAAACAAACTACTATCAAAAGATCTCAAAATTAATCTAATATTTTTTCTATGAAGTCCCTCACAAAATCCACTGCAGAAGTAAATAACAAGAAAAATAAACCAAACCTCTGTGGTTTTCTCTCTGTAAGCTTTCTTTCTCTGTGTGTAGAACCCTAACGCTGTCAATCAATCTAACCATCTCTCTAGTTTTAGAACTGGAACAAAACAAAATAATAATAATAATAATAATAGATTAGACTCTAAAAGATTAGAACTGGACCCAAAAAAAAACAAACAAACAAACAAACAGATTAGACTCAGAGAAGAAGAGAAAAAAAGAGAAGAAGAAGAAGGAGAGAGAGAGAGAGAGAGGTACCTCAGTCTGTAGTAGATCGATCAATCTAACCACCTCTCTAGTTTTAGAACTGGAACAAAAAAAAAACAGATTAGACTTAGAAGAAGAGAAGAAAAGAGAAGAAGAGGAAAGCAGAAGAAGATGAGAAGAAGAGGAAAGCAGAGAGAGAGAGAGAGAGATACCTCAGTCAGTGTAGATCGATCGCCGTTTCCTGTAGATCGTCGGACGATGGGTAGTGTAGAGAGAGAGAGAGAGAGAGAGAGAGAGAGAGTCTGTCTCCGTCGAAGAAAATTAGGGCAAATGAGGGATATTATCCAGGAAAAGGGGGGTTTATTAGTTATCACATTATTTTAATTATAAATTATGAGTTATTTGGTCATATTTTATATGATGTGTTGTTTGGTTATCGCTTGAATTTGTTTTTTGAGAAGTGATTGAGACCTCCTCTAATTATCACCTCTATCATCTCACACACGTGGTAAGTGGTGATTGAAGGAGAAAGAAAAAAAAAATTAAACAATCAAAAAGAGAGGGGGTCAAAGGAGGTGGCTCCTTGAGGGGTCCAACTCATTTTTCTTTTTTTTAGTTGCAACCCTCATATCATAATACTGAGTTATGTCATTTGTGATAATCAAATTCACAAATAACTTAACTTGTATATCGTACACAATATAATTCCTCCAGATAAAAATATAATAAATTTGATTATAACATTATTATTATTATTATTTATAAAACCTAACAAATATGGACAGTGAAACTGGTATATATGCATTATTGAGTTTCATCTCCAATCATTGAACGCTTCAATGTTGAGCAAACACATATAAAGTAACAAAAATTCAGATGGTTATTTTAAAATGGATATGACAAGCACTACCTTCGTTTGACTTAGAGCATTCACATGGTGATGTCTTCGTAAAATATGACTCAAATTGTTTAAGACTATGCTCTGTTTAATGAGAGGGATGAAAAACAGAAAAGTAATAAGAAACAAAAATTAAAGGGCAGGTTTCACTTTACCCCTATGATTTGCTCTTCTTTTAGTTTATGTATTGTAGTGCACCGTTAAATATTTTGTTAAATTTAACAATAAGTGTAAAAGACGTGCCGTTCATAAGGAGATTATATACTCATTTTTAAAATTTAAGCAAATAAATAACACATGGAATAAAGTATAAGGAGTTAAAGTACGACCTTCTAAATAAATTATGAAAGTATTCGTAATTCACACACTTAAATTACTTATATACAAGGATATTTTAGTATTTTCATTAAATCATTAACAGATTTAACGGTATACTTCAATCCACAAATCACAATGGGATTATATGGTTCTTTCTAAATATGAGGGGAGATCTACGCATGACCCAAATCACAAAGGAGTAAAGCAAAACTTGTCCAAATTTAAATAATAAATACCTCCTTTCAAGAAAATTGATTTTACTTACATTTTGTGAGTGCTTAAATAAAATTACTTTTGATTGATCCAAACCAACAAGTCCTATATCAGAAAATGTACTGATAGCACACAAAATTGTAAATTCTACTATTTTGGGCTAATCAAAACTTGTATTCGTTTACAAAGATTGATAATATGTGAATAGAATCAAACTCCCTTTCAAAAGCAACATCGATTGAATGTTTTTAAAAACTTTAGACTAAACATTATTTAACTAAACTTTTGAAAAGTTGTGGGGCTTTTGATAATAAGATTTGGGGGTTTTTTAAAAAAAATTTTTTTTATTTTTTTTTTTTTTTTTTTTTTTGAGTTTTAGGCAACAAAGTAACCTAATAATTAAACTATCTTTGTTCAAAAGGTATAAAGTACCTTAATAATAATTATTAAGAGACATAAGAATATATTGTGATATATAATAGATCCAAAATAAATTATTCTTCACAAAATTGAGCAAAAGCAAAAAACCCCACATTTGAAATTCTTAAATTACGAAAGTCAATATTGATAAGTTATTTAATCCCTTCGTGTATGATCTTTTTAAATTTTCATGTATCATTGGAAACAATATACCATATTTGAAATACTGCAATGTTAAGAACATAATTAAGCATAGTGGAAAAATGAAACTAAGTGGAGACCTATTTGAACCACAAAGAGAAGAAAATTACGATCAAAGAGAGACTCAATTGAACCATGAGAAGAAACTCTAAACAATGTCCAAGCACGACCAAAAAGATAGTGAGGCTAAAATCTACGCTACTACCATCTTTGTAGAGAACTAATTGTGTCAAACAAAAAAAGAGAATCAGAGAAGGCTCTCTATGGCAACAAATAGAAAAGGAATTAGAGGCCGAAATACTGTTTTCATAAATTCCGGTAAGGCATAAATTCACCGAAACCATTTGAGATGTTAAGTAAAACGAATGTGTACTAGTTTTGTACTGGTTCAATTGTGAAACGGTACATACTTTCAAAACAATATTGAAATCTTTGACCTTGAGGCAGATAACGATATTGAAGGGCTACAAGATGGATTTTAAAGAAATAAAGCAGGTATGTAATTTTGTTTTGTATTAAGGACGTCAACAGGGGCATTCCAAAACTGTTGTCAGCGGTTGACAAGCAAGTAGGGGTGTTCATGAAAAATCGGAATCCGACCCACCTGATCGGCCCGTACTGAACCGAAGTAAAACGGACGGTTTCGAATATTCAACCGGTCGGCTGTGGTATTGTTTGGTTGAATTTCGTGGTTTCACGGTCGGCAACGGTTTTGTGTAAATTATTTCGGTCGAAACCGACCTGACCAAATTTTCATGCAGCTGTTACATTTTTTTATATTTATATAATTGTTTTATTATTGGGAGAAGTGCAAAGCTTCTTGTGGAAGCTTTCTATGATGATGATGATGTATTTCAATTTTCAACTTTCAAAGCAAAAAGAGTTGTCCAGCAGCAGACCTATCATATCATATCAACTCTTTTCCTCTCCTCTTCCCCATATTTCTCTCTTTCCCATATTTCACTCTCTCACTCTCTCACTCTCTATAACTGTTGGCTACATATTTTGTAAAAGTCAGTTATAGTTCGACACGTGGCAGAGTAAGGGTA